CGAAAATTGTATGTGTACTGAACATACAGTGTGTGTTGTGTGTGTGTGTGTATGTGTGTGTGCGTGTGTTTTTGTGTATGAGAGAAAATGTTGGTTAATGGGGTCGGGATGGGGCCCACGTGGATGAATATGTGAGTGTGTAAATATTTGTTTATCCTTACTTAATGGTCAAAAGTATTTACAATATGTCTATATATTTATGAGATTGTCACCGCATGTTTGACTGCCACGTATTTAAAATTGATTTGATCATGACCCTTGACTTGATGTATTCAATTGTCCAAATTTATTCTTTTTTTTGTTTACAATCTACCATTCTTATTTAAGCACACTTATATATATGCTAAGAATTTAATACAAATATAATTATTCCCTCTAAAAAACATTTGATTAATATTTTTAACTATTCTATTTATAATAATTACTAATTATATTAACTATATATAAATTCACACTAAAATGTTTACGAAAGTTTCACACTTATCCTCCCTATCCTCCCTATATATAATTCCCGAATGCCCTGAGCCTACGTGGCTGCTTCCGGTGTTTCAGGATTCTATATGACAAAATTACATGCTTCGTTATTAGGCTTGGGTAAATTTTAATTTAATTGTAAATCAAAAATAATTAGGTTCGGATTACCATAAATATGTTGATTATTTATGGTCATGTTACATGTATTAATTGCATTTTAATATTATTCCTTATTATAACTATTGAATTGTATATATATTTTAAAAGTTAATAACTCTTATATATTTTATCAGTTTTACATATATAATATATCAAATTAATCTTCTTTTGATGACCTTCGATTTAACATCCATATTGTATGTATAAAAATATAATTTATATTTATCTTTATGACAATAATAAAATTATTTTTAATATTAATTAAAAATAAAATTCTTTATCAACTAATATATTTATATTTCAAGTAGTTATATGATATAAGTTATAAAAACTAATATAATATAACACATGTAAGTAATAAGTAACACATATCATTCTAAAATATATAATAATATATTTTTTTTTTGTAAAAAAGTAAACTAAATTTAATATACTTTTTTTATTAATTTTAAAATTTAAGAATAATTTTTTAACAAGCACTCGTGTAATACACGGGTGTTGTACTAGTTGAAAATACTATTAGCAATTTTTTTTATCCAAGCTTCTTTTTTATACGAAATTAATTATTATCCTTTTACTTTTATCTTATTAAATGATTTTGTTTTAAAGTTACTAATTGATTTTAACGACATAACAAACCTTTTAAATTTGCATAAATAATTTATATAATAACAATAAATTAGTATTTTTCACTAAATTAATTGGTCATGATCTCTTACACTTGTAAAAGTTACAATATTGTTCAACTAAATTAATTGGGCACCATCTCTTACGTATGTAAAAATAGCATGTAAGTACATTATTCAATTTTACTAATGCAACAACAACAACAGTCTTTTTGTCCTAAATAAGTTGGGTAGGCTAGAGATGAAACTCAAAGAGAACTGTAAGAGAAAACACAAAAAGGGCTGAAAAATAGAGATTTGAGCAAAATAGAAAGAAGCAAAAGCCACGGTTCTGACACGTTGATTGTTAGCCTCCAAGCGCTCCTATCCATCGCTATATCCTTGGAGATATTCTAATCTTTAAGGTCTCTCTTAACTGACTCTTCCCAAGTGTGTTTAGGCCGACTTCTACCTCTCTTTACATCATCGACCCGCTGTAGAACTCCTCTATGCACCGGTGCATCAGGAGGCCTCCGTTGGACATGTCCGAACCACCTCAACCGATGTTGAACCAATTTCTCTTCAATTGGAGCCACTCTGACCCTATATCGAATATCCTCATTCCGAATTCTATCCCTTCTTGTGTGCCCGCAAAACCAACGCAACATACGCATCTCTGCTACACTTAGTTGTTGGACATGTTGCCTTTTTGTAGGCCAACATTCAGCACCGTATAGCATCGCCGGGTGAATCGCCGTCCTATAGAACTTACCTTTTAGCCTTTGTGGCACCCTCTTATCATAGAGAACGCCCGAAGCTTGACGTCATTTCAACCAACCGGCTGCAATTCTATGCCTAAGATCTTCATCAATATCGTCATCCTTTTGTAGCATCGATCCTAAATACCGGAAAGTCTCCTTCTTGGCCACCACTTGCCCGTCAAGGCTAACGTCACCATCATCATGAGTAGCCATGCTGAAAGCGCACGTCATGTACTCGGTCTTTGTCCTACTAAGTCTGAAGCCTTTCGACTCTAACGTGTCCTTCCACAACTCTAATTTCATATTTACCCATGCCCTAATCTCGTCAACTAGCACCACATCATCAGCAAAGAGCATACACCAAGGGATATCACCTTGTATGTTCCTTGTGGCCTCATCCATCACCAAGGCAAATAAATAAGGGCTCAATGCTGACCCCTGGTGTAGTCCCATTTTAATTGGGAAGTCGCTGGTATCGCCCCCACATGTTCGGACACACGTCATCGCATCCTTGTACATCTTTGATGAGGGTAATGTACTTAGATGGGACTTTGTACTTTTCTAAGGCCCACCACATGACATTCCTCGGTACTCTGTCATAAGCCTTCTCGAGGTCGATAAAGACCATGTGCAAGTCCTTCTTTTGGTCCCTATATCTCTCCATCAGCTGTCGTATTAGGAAAATCGCCTCAATGGTCGACCTTCCAGGAATAAACCCAAATTGGTTTTGGGTCACACTCGTCACTCGTCGTAGGCGATGCTCGATAACCCTCTCCCAGAGCTTCATCGTATGGCTCATAAACTTTAATGCAAGTGTAAGCGTCCTGGTCCGGTTTGAACGGATAGATCTTGGTCTCCGCCGGTAGAACGCCGGAAACCTGCAAATAACTCTCACACCGGGGGTTGTGTGCGGTGAAGAGCCTCCGATGCTTAAGTCAGTATGTTTATTAGTATACTGGAATTTAGAGAATGAATAGAATGTGTCTTAGGGAAAAAGGCTCACCCCCTTTATATAGGGGCGAGATACCTGCCCTAATAGCTTCCCGGATAAGGATGAGCTCGCTGCCCAAGCTGCCTGTCCGTACTCTGGCACGCCGCGCACATGTCAGAGGTGGCGCAGGGCGTTGGGAGCTGTCAGAGGTGGTTATCGCTGTCACCCAATACATCGTCGACACGTGTCCCCCCCTGCACATGGGGTAAATATTCTCCTGGGACTCAGTTGGGGGCTCTCACGCGCGCCCGTGATACACGCGCCCATGACTAGGCCGAATGTTAGTTCCTCGAAGCGATCGACCTGTTGAGGTCAAATAGGTTACTCGATCATGTATCTAGTCAAGCAATGGGTTGCTCGATCGTTAGTCTGGTTGAGCCTTGAGATGCTCGAGCGTCAATTCTCCCGCCCTTTTGGCTCGGCTTACTTCCGGTTTGGCCTCCTCGACCGGCCAAGTAGGCCGGTTTATCCTTGAGTATATAATATCCTATATCAAACTTAATCCCACGGTAGTTACCACATCTTTGAACATCTCCCTTGTTCTTGAAGATCGGTACTAAAGTACTTCTCCTCCATTCATCAGACATCTTGTTTGACCGGAAAATGAGGTTAACAAGCTTAGTTAGCCATACTAACGCTCTGGCGCCCAGGCATCTCCACACCTCAATCGGGTTACCATCAGGGCCCATTGCTTTACCTCCCTTCATCCTCTTCATAGCCTCTCCGATCTCTGCCTCCCAAATTCTCATCACCAAGCGTCTATTGGTATCCTCAAATGAGTCATCCAACTCCAGGGTAGGACTCTCACTCTCCACATAAACAATTTACCGAAGTACTCTCGCCATCTGTCATTGATCTCCCCATCCTTCACCAGTGGTCGATCCGACCCATCATTGATGCATTTGATTTGGTTGATGTCCCTTGTCTTCCTCTCTCGAATCCTCGCCATCCTGTAAATGTCCTTCTCCCCCTCCTTCGTGCCTAGACGCTGATAAAGGTCATCATAGGCCTGACCCTTCGCTACACTCACGGCACGCTTTGCAACTCTCCTCGCTATTTTATAGCTTTCAATGTTGATTGCACTATTGTCAAGGTTGAGACGCTTGAAACACTCCTTCTCCTGAATAGCTCTTTGCACCTCGTCATTCCACCACTAAGTGTTTTTCGCTTTCTGCTGGCCTCCCCTACTCACACCAAGTACTTCTGCAGCCACCTTCCGTACACATGTTGCCATCTTTAGCCACATGTCATCTGCATCTTCTCCTTCTTTCCAAGGTCCCTCGCCTAGCATCCTATCCCTAAACGTATGCGCCCCTTCCCCTAAAAAAATTTACTAATAATAAAAATTATAAAATGTGATAACCTCCCTATATGGCGTACGATTTTAAACATAATATCCATACACATAATTTCTAATATTTTATTGCAAGTGAACAAGATTGAATACTAGTTGATATAAAATATTCTCCATAACATAGAGTTGCTATACTTAAGTGAAAACTTGCAACTGAAAATTAATGAAAATAATAATAATTTCACATTGATCCAATCTTGAATTGCTGTCACAAGATTCACAACTTGCAAGAAGCCAAACACTGGTAACACAGCAAATTACAACACAAATGTTTATCTGCAAATTAACAGGTAAAACCTTGCTATGGTTTTGCATCTTGCTTCAAACCTCCACACAATATGACCTAACACCCATAACTTATGTACACAAACTGCGGCATGTGATTCGTCAAACTAGGCACGTCGCATATATCTAAATAAAGCAGAAAAAAAAAGGAAAAAAAAAAACGGAAATTGCAAAATTATGTTCCGATCGTTCTAATGACCCGTGTTTCCACTCTCCTCTTCCATCAACCTAGCATGAAATAAGAATGGTAACAAAACATACTACAGCTACCTGCTAACTTCTTCTTCATTCATAATGTAAGAAAATCTTCGTAATTTCCCATGACCTTCACAAAATGCAGTATTGACAATTTTGTTTTATATAAACTTGCACTAAGCGGTTCTTGGATTTTCAACTTCATCTTGATTAAGTCGTGTAGGACTGTTTAAGGGCGGTGTTGGTATAAGGCTTGGTGGAGGAGCTCGACTAGGACTAGAATTTGACTGGTTTGTGGCACCATTGTTTCTTTCTCTCCACCTAAGGATCTCCACAAAAATGGAAGCTCCACTCATGGCCACACCAAATCCCGCGAATGTCGAGAGAAGGATTGACACAACTGCTTGCACTTGAACCTATACATTAGTAGCCCACCAAATAATAAAAATCAAGATAAAAGGAAAATGTCACAATAAATTGATGTGCAATACACATGCAAAAATCTTTATTTTTTATTTAAAAAAATATAACGAACACTCGGATAAATTCCCATATGCAGGATTTGAATGCACAAACAACGACTCGGAGATCACTTATAATTGGAGCTTAAAATGTAACTCAAATTAAAATTTCAAAACATGTAATCTTTAAACCATGTTATCCTACACAATTTTGAAAAAGAAATCTATCTTACACAATTTTCATGAATTTCACCATTCACTCACACACATAACTCTAATCACCTAGTTATTTTTCATTTATATATCAACCAACTTTCATTGCTCACGTTTTCATCTCATATCCTGTCATGTCACGTCCTTTACAGAGTGAACAAAGATAAAATCTTTAAGCTAAATAAGATTCAAGATATGGATTTTAATGAAAATATTTGGGAACTAATAACCCTCAAAATGAAACCACATATAAGTTGGATTTTGAAGTGCTTTAGTGTTTCAAAATAACTCACAATAGGGACGACAAAGTAATTTCACTAAGAGTCGATTGAAGAAAAAACTAAACATGAATAGAAATTTTTTGTACCAGGCTGTAGAAGATATGAGCAAAGACAACCACAAGGGTGAACTGAATTGCTGCATAGATCCACACGAATCTTCTCTTCACTATATACCATAAAAATGAAAGAAAGCAACGAAAAAAAGGATAATGTGAGATTGTATAATGTACTGATTTGCTCTGGAAATTGGGAAATCAAAACTATTTTTTGGAGGTAAATTAAAAAATACCCATAGTTGAGGAGGTGATAGATGAGATGAGGCCTAGTGCACACGAAAATGGAACGGATATAGCAATTGCACTCGTATCCATTTTCTTAACCTGCACAGAAACCCATACATGAGTCATTCTTGATCTGCTTAATCTCAAGTGAAACCGAAAAAAAAAAAAAAAAAAAAATGCCTTACTAGAAGCTGCTCGAGGAAACAAAAGTAGGCAAGCATGCTGACAATGACGAGAATAGGCAATTCCTGCCAAACCCTGTGTTTAGAAAACAAAATTATTTAGACCCCATGTATATAACATAAATAAATCAAGATTTTTTTAGGGGGAAATGCAATATTTTGATTTTCGGAAAATTATCACATCTTATTATTGTGCCGGTCCGTAAGTTTCAATAATCTCTCTTTAATAGAATTAAAAATTGGAAAGACAGAGCAGACGATTTCATAACAACAGAAACTAACTACACAACAAAACACAATCATATGTAGAAGTAGAATCATATTGTTATGCAGAGGTAGAAAGGGTGCAGTGAACATAACCACGTGCCTGTATCCGTTGAATTCCATCTCTCTAGCAACACGTGGCCTAGAATCTCGATTTGCGGTGCTCTGAATACGTAAAAGAGTGACTGGAAGATTCCGGACTTCCTGCTTGCAAACATCGCAAGTTTTGTTACCCTTGATGACGAACCATTTAACGGCACACTCTTGATGAGCCAATGCGAGTTCGCCTTTGCAGCTGCATTCCATCTTGAGGGTCTCCCCACCTTCACAAAGCTCCACCAAACAAATCCTGCAAACGGCTTCTTCTTCGGGTATATCTTCACCATCACCCTCCACGTTTTCTGCTAACAAACGAATAGTAATAAAAAAGTATCCTCCAACTTGTTTTGAAAATGAAACAAAAATGTGGATAAAATAAAACAGAATAAGGATCAAATGCTATTGGAACTTTGGTAAGTGGTGTTACACAGGGTTATATTTCAAAGCTGCATCTTGAGTCTTGAAAGTCACATGCAAAAAGTCTATATATTTCAAACATTGTAAAAATTACCATCATCTTCCTTTATGGCAATTGCCAATTCAGAGTCCTCTTCCTTCACCATGGGAGTCGAGGGTATTACACGGAAAAAAGAATTCGTCCTTTGAATTCCCTTTTCTTTCCTTACAACCGGCACAGAAAGCGAACGGGAAATACGTGCAACTTCCTTTGTCTACAAGTAACAATCACCAAAATAAAATATGATAGTCCCCTTATTCTTTACACAAAAAATCCCATTCCACTTTACCATGCAAATATGGCACAGACATAGAATCCCTAAAAAAAATTCAACTTTTCAACCAAATTAATCGTTGTATCTAAAAAATAGAAAAAGAACTTACACTAACATGACTGTTCACACTTCCACCGTGACTACTGTCCGGATTCAAGTTCACAAAAGGCAAGGAAGATGTCCTTTTTATCCTCGGCGTAAAAATTCTCGAAAATGACCACGATCTTGATATCGGGGCCTTATCTTGCCCGACAATACTATGATAAATCGAGTCAAGGCTACCGTTGGCACCCTTCTCAACATCTGAATTATTAACTGAACTCCGGTTCTTGAAGCTCAATTTAGGCAGCAAGCTCCTGATGGATGATTTCCCTCTGGTTGACGTGGGCCCGGATGATGATGATGATCCAAGTAGCCTCGAGCCAGACGGGCCGGGCCCCGGCGAGACAAGGAAGTTCACTTTTCTTGGTGTGGGAGTTTGTGTTGGGGGAACATCTTCTTGAGGAGATATTTCCATCGGCCTGTTGGGTATTTCGAGGGAAAGATTCGGCTTCCTCCATTGTTGTTTGTTGTCTGAGGTTTCTTTCGACATCTCCGAGCTTTTCGCTACCTGGGGAATCGGATAATGCGCGTTTCTTCATGTGTTGCTAACATGAATATAATTGTATGCAAAAATACAAGAGTATGAAAAGGGGCAAATTGGTTACAACAGTACTACTAAACCAGAGCAAAATCTAACGAAACTTCAGAACATGGAAAAATCAGTGCAATAAAATATACTAACCGATTCGTTATAGAAATCGCAACAGTCCCAAAATGGTTGATTAGCTTCTTCTTCTTCTTCTTCTTTTTTTTCATGTCCATATAATATTTAGATCATAAATTTATGTCAATCAAGAGAAGCAAAGGCAAAGTTGAATGCTTTTGCGAAGATGAGGTCATTTCAAAGCAAGAAAGCAGAACAGAATCATGGGACATACATTACAAAATTGCAGATAAGGCCCTCAACTAAACCTTTTTTTTGCAGTTAGATCCCGCAAAGAAAGAACAAACCAAACAGGGTAAAAAGTCGAAAGCTAATCGAAGGAGAAAAACGTGTTCTTTTCTACTTAGAGAAAACTAAAAAAAAAAAGAAGAGCGATTCAGATTGAAGTAAAAGTACCTGAGGCTGAGGAGGAAGATGAAGGGGCCTGCCTTTTCTTCTTCGTTCTTCTTATCTTCACTGGCTCATCATCGTCTCAGTGCTCGCGCGAACAGCGATTTAGTGAGAGGAGTGTTTGTTGAGTTAGTGGTTGTTGGTGTGATATTTATTACAGTATATATAACGTTAATGGAGGTGCCACGGAAAAGACGATGATGTCTGATGACATTTTTACATTATATACGGTGAGGGGAAAATAGAGTGGGAAAACCATGATTGAGGGATGGCTTTTTTTTTTTTTTTTAAATGTTATGGTATTCGGAGTTATGTCCTTACTAATTTGTTGGTCGGGTCGCACATCTGGTAGTGGTGGGTGAGTCTCTTAAAATGGGTTTTTCCACATCTGACAGTGGTGGGTGAGTCTCCCAACAAGGGTTTTTTGCATTCACAAGCACTCGAACTCGAGATTTTGCTTAAGCGACATCAAGCTGCTTAACACTTGAGTCAATAGTGTGGAGCTTTTTATTCCAAAATAGAATAATAGTAGTCCCGCTCACCTGCCCACGATGGACAGTGGCCACTACTTTTTTTTACATAAAAAACGTATTCTGAGAATACGTTTTTTAAAAAATACGTTTTTTATGTATAAAAAAGTGGTGGGCACTGCCCACCATGGGCGGTGGGCAGTGAACGGATCTATGAATAATAGTGGGGAGCTTTTTATTCCACGCTACTTGTTTGTTTAGCGGTGGGCCCAACACGAGAGTTACATGTCGGAACTTCCCTTCTTGTTTTTATTACCATTTGGATTCCCTTGGTTGAATTTCTTTTGGACTTGTATTAGATGTTCTTAAGAATTTTTTTTTTTTTTTTTTGATTACTTGTTCTTGATTGCACTACAAGAATGTGATTAGATTTCAAAGAAAATTTTCCATATTTTAATGGCAGACCTGCAACAAAAATATTTCGTTGAAATGAGTTTTTTCATTGGAATTTCTGTTAGATTTTGACGATTCTAACGGTACATTTAAGAATGGTTGAAATACGGATGAAAATAAAAAATTTAACGAAAAATTGTATATTCCAACGGAAATTCTTATAATAAAAAATCGATGGAATAATGGCCGTTAGAATTATAAATTTCATCTAAGTTTTAATAGAAAACGCATTCCAACAAAATATTTCCGTTAGAATTTTTGTTAGAATCATTTCAAGGGAAGCTATACCATTGGAATATTCGTCAGAATTTCCATTGGAATATGTTACCGTATGATTTTTCGTTAGAATTTATGAATTATTTTTTTGTAGTGTCACATACTGAATTAATTAATATGATTGATTTTAAAAGTGATATGATGTATTTATAAGTGTAACGTTATATATGAGTTGTAACATAATCCAATATAAATAGGGAATCTAAAGGATTTTTTTTAAGAAATAAATAATAATAATAATTTTAAATAATTAAAAACCATAATTATCTTTTTTTTGTCCCATTTACTCAAGAAGAATTAAAAATAAACAAAAAGTAATGAACTATCATCTCTGGTCGAATAAGATTTCCAAATTTATTCTCCTTGTTTTTAAGTAAAAATTTTCTTCTTCTTTTTCTTTTCTTTTTTCATAACAAAAGTCTCATTTATATGTGCAAGATGTGATTTAAAACTTTTGTTCATTTATATGTGCAAGATGTGATTTAAAACTTTTGTAGTTGTTCATCCGGCACAGTTTGTTAAACTTTAAAAATAATGTGATGTTCAAAGTAACTATAAATATTTTTCATATTCTTAAAATCTAAATTAAACATCATATTTTAATAGGAGAGAAAACAATAAGTTGAGACCATAGAATTGGCACGAATGGAACGGATCATCTCATTTAGTAAAAGTTGACGGATGTTCTACACAATAAAATTTATATCTCATTCTCATTTAGTTAGATCTTTGTAGAAATTTCAACAATTTTGCACATATGAGAAGATTTGGATTGGGTAGTCTGTAATTGCAGTTTAAGGCTAAAATTGGTATTAATTCTAGGTTTGGCTTGAGTATTACTATATTAAATTCCACAACTTATAATGTGATTTCGATTGTTATACCTTGGCCAAAATAAGTTCACTAATAAATTCATTTTGCCATCAAAAGGAATTTTGGACAGTTTCATTTCACTTCACTTTCAACCTTACGACAAACGTAATTTGTTATTAGCCAAAAATTACACGTACCAAAATGCTTATAATGCCGACCTACATTTCATAACGCAAAATTATCCATGTTCTCGTAAAAAGGCAAAGTGCTAAGGGCGGATTTAGTAAGAGCCACTCTCCCCGCTATCATAGCGGTAAAGACTTCATGCGCCCAGGGGCGGATCTAGAAAAAAAATTTTTGGGGGGGGGACTAGAGTTGTTATTCGAACATAAATATCTACGAATACATCTCAGTTTGATCATAAAACTCGAGCTAAGTTTGTTCTCATAATTACACGAACTAATTTCAAACATTTAATCAAATTTGTGTATTAACAGAGTTGAATCTCACTGATTTATTTATCAATCAAACACAAGATCGATCATGTTTACTCCATTTAAATAACACCTTTAAAGGGGATATATAACTTTTTATAATGCACACATAAGGCATACAATTTCTTTATATATTAAATAGTTAAAATAGATAATAAAATTACTTTACAAAATATGTAACTTACGGATTTTGGTATTTTAAAATTTTTCTTGAGTTTATTTTAGGTCACAAGACTCATTACACGATTTTGTTTTTCTTTTAATTCAGTATTAATAGTTCTTGCGATTACTTCTCGATCCCACGAAATTGTATATCTCTCATGCTTTGCTATTTCACAATTTTTTATTTTATGATGTTTCATATATCATACATTCAATTTACTTAAATCTTATATTACAAAGAAAATACACCAAATACTATGGATGGAGAGTGAAAAACTATTTAGAAAAATTATGTATTTAAAAATGATTGATAGACAAAGCAACATAATAATTTATATCAGAATTAGTAATAATTATTGAGTGTAGGCATTTATTGAGTTTGCTTATACTCTTTATTTATGTAGTAAAAGATAAAAATTTGACAAAATACTTATAATATGTATATATATACAAAGTAAGAAACTAAAAGTTTGGGGGGGACAATGGCCCCCCCTAAACTACATGTGGATCCGCCCCTGCATGCGCCAACTCGTTAACCTTGGTTCCGATGCGTGCTTTTAGTCGCACTTCCATGAATTATGGGCATCCAAGATACTTACTTAGGTTGTCTGTCAGCTTGAAGTTTAACAAACCCGCCAACCTGATTTGTTCTTGTGCCTCCACATTATTGGAAAACAGGACTTGCGTCTTTTTTGAGCTAATTTTGAGTCCCGAGGGTTTGCATAAAAGGTTCAAGATTACCATGCTCCCATGTGCAATTAATGATGGTCTCGAAAAAAGATGTTGTGACTTTGTGTGGGGTGAGTCTGATGAGAAGAAAAAAGTTCATTTGGTCTCTTAGAATGATGTATGGCGTCCAAAGCTTGATCAGAGGGGCTCATGTATAAAAAATCTCCGTTGTAGGAATAATGCACTTTTGATGAGAATGGGATGGGATTTTGACGAACCAAGAATCAACATGGGTGCGTGTTCTATTGGCTAAGTATAATATCAATTCGTCAACCAACTTAGAAATTTTTCACGGCCGACAAAGGTCGACTTTAATGCGAGCAATCAATAAAGTATGGCTCCATGTGGTGCAAGGTGTGCGTTGGATTATAAGAAACTGTCAAAAAAGCTCGGTTCAGGCTTGATTCATGGCTAGGCACTGCTAGACCATTGATCGCCTTTGAGACAAATCAATCGCGAGAACCTACAGTTGAAGTAGCCCATTGTGGAGAGGAGTCTGGCCGCTGGAATTGGGGCGAGTTTCATGGTCTGTTACTCGCCTTTGTGTTCTTCCGAATAGCCACAACTCTACCACCGAGAGTAGGGTTGTAAACAAGCCGTTCGTTAAATAAATGAGCTAGAAATCGAGCTTGAGCCGATCTCGAGCTTTAACGAGCCAAACTATAAAAAGTTATATAAAAATTCTTTTTCGAGCCTTATTGAACCTAAGTGAGCTCGGCTTGTTAACTAAACGAGCTTTAAATGTGCTCCAGCTCAGCTCCTTTAGCTTCGAACTCGAGCCAAACTCGAGCCTTAACGAGCCGAGTCAAGCTCGTTTAATATAACATCACTAATCGAGAGCGACGACAAATGATGATCGAGTCATTTGGAGCCACTCTCGCGATGGTAGATTCTCCACAAGGACAGCCTACAGGTATATACTACAAATAGAAAAGGATTCTGATAAGCACCTTTGGAAGCTTATATGGAGAGCAATGGCCCCGCAACTGGGTTTGAAATTTTCTTTGGCTCGCAGCTAAAGGGCGACTGCTCACAAATTCAGACGATATCGGCGACATTTATGCAATTCAACGGAGTGCAATTTCTGCGGAGAAAGCATATATGTGTTGCATGTGTTAAGAGATTATCCTTTTGTTAAAAACCTCTTGGCTCGACTGACCTCAGTTGTGGATGACCCATAATTATTTGAGCTACCGTTGAAAGCATTGTTCCACAGGAATTTGCTTAAACTTTGGCTAGGATCCTTTGCAAACTGGAGCAACCTCTTTTCAATCGTAGTTTGGCGATCGTGGAACTGGAGGAACGAACGTGTCTTCAACCAGAAAAATGGAGCTGCGAGGCACATCGTTGGAGGTGTTAAATCATGCAGACATTTATATTCGTTCTCTTGCAGCCTTTAATAAAATAGGAAATGAATCAGAGCATTCTGATTGATTCATTGGTCTCCGCCGGATCCAGGGTGGATCAAAATAAATACTAACAGTGCTTTTGATAATTTCACCGGATTAAGTAGTGCAGGAGAGATCCTTCATGATGAGCTAGGAAGATGGTTAGCGGGTTTCCTCATGCACATTGGGTTTTGTGCAATTAAGAGTGCGTAATTGTGGGACCTTTTTCATGGGCTTCAACTAGCATGGGAGACAGGGTATCGTCAAGTTATCGCGGCAATCGATATCTAATGTGAGGTGAACATGATCCTTGGCACCGATAATAAATTTTGATCCCATAAAGCGTTAGTCAAGGTCATTCGTTGCTTGGCTCATAGGAAATGGAGCATTACGATATGACACGTGCATGGAGAAGCCAACTTTGCAACAGACCATTTGGCAAGCTTAGCGACCGACTCTCCGATCGAAATCCAATTCTTGTCTTCTCCTCCCCTGACATTGGAGCTTGGCTCGAGCACGATATTATCGGGGTCTCTTATCCCATAAAGTTATAGTTTAATCAGTCCTTCGATCTCCTTAATTCTACAAAAATAAAAATAAAAATGCTTGATTCCAACTTTTAGCAAACCATCACTGGCCCGATTTTACATCACATGGCACTTTCAATAGTCAGTGGAGGAAATAATCTGGTATAAGTAGGCCTCATTTGAATTCAATATTATCAAGCACCACATACAAAGATATACGTGTTAATTAGCTATTGGGTTAAGATTGTCATCCAGTTATTTCATATTTTCAGTAAATAAACATTTCAATTTACTTGACCAAATTTATCTCCACAATCCCCAAAAAAAGAAACAAATAATTTTCGGATAGGCAGCTGAGGCCGTAAAGCCTAATGTGACGAGACAATGGGAAAATATAGCAAACACATTCAATAGTCACTTGATTCGGATCGATATGATCAATCATTTTCTTTCGTGGAAGTTTTGTTTAATCTCTATTTTCTTCGGGTTGCTAACTCAACGGCAGAGTATTCGGCTTTTAAAACTTCACAGTTTCACACCACGAAATGCTCTTTTTTCTTTTTTTTTTTCTTAGCCCATACCTAATTTATGATGTGATTACGATATGGCTTCACACAATAATAACGGGTCCTATGAATTCTCTAGAAAAGAGAAAACACAATGCAATGCATGCAGGAGGCTGCCCAATCCCAAAAGTGAATCTCAAAAGAGAAACCTTTTTTTTTTTTTTTCAAATCTTTAAGATAAATAAAATGAACATATACATATCATACAGTGCACAATGAAAATTTAGTACTGAGCTCAAGTTCAAGTGTCTACTGTACTTACAGAGGTCCCCCGAGATACACTAATCGAAAATTGCATCTGCGTGTATTGGGGAACGTTTGTCCATTGCAAATGAAGCTAGAAGAGTCATTGTTGACAATTCTCCTGGCATAATACTAATAATGGACTAGATCAAAATAGCTCAATAAAATTCTAGTGCTTCTTCTATTAGAAAAGTTTCTAAAAAAAAAATATACCAAACGACACAATGCACCTTGGGTCACTACGGAAACAGCCTCCTTGTATAATTACAAGGTTAAGGTCTGCGTACAACTGACCCCCCAGACCCCAACCAGTTGGGAATATACTGGGTATGTTGTTGTTGTTGTTGTTGTGCACTGGGGAACGTCCCCTTAATCCACTCTGTTCAAATGCATATAAAATGGAAAGCACTTTGGTAATAATACAGCTATTTGCTCACAATATCCATAACCGAAAGACGTAGTCACATGTATTAAGGATTCGAGGAAACATAAGAGTGTATAGAATGTCAGGACCGCAAAGTTGCCCAAATGCTACGCAACGAGCCTTTTGTTGAACTTATCAAGTTTTGCTTTCAGACTCCACCTTTTGCTTTTCCTCCTTTGTCAGCATTCTCAAAAGTCTTCACTTTGTGATGCACTTATTAATTTTATGCTTTTCTAACCTTTTTCATCAACTCAACTTTCTATATGATGGGATACCACAGTTAACATGAACATATGCCCATGTCGAGCTTGGCTAATGTGATGCTTCCACTACTCCAACAATCACGCTATCAGCAATTTTACCAATCCGTAAAAGTTGTACGATAAAAATGTATAAAATTCATAACAAGATTGTTTTTCTTTTTTAAAAAAAAAAATAAAATAAAATGAAATGTACTCAATAAGGTTATCCTGACAACTAAAACAAGTGCTCCCATATGAGCCGCGAATAATAAGCCAAGAAATAACAGATAAGGTTGACAAAAACCTGAACTTGATGGAGTCGATCATCTCCACAAGACCCAAAACCAGCACAAACATCTTATGCGCCAGAAAGGGAAAGGGGAAAACAGCAAGAAAAGATGCTTCCTCGACTTATTAGGCACATTTCACCTCTCAAGAAGCATCACTAGTTCGCAATGGTTCGTATGAGGAAAAAGATCAACGGCCATGGCTTTTACTGGATTAAACGGCTCAGAAATGGGCATGGACTTTGCCCTGCGTCTAGCCAGACCAGCCGAACTTACGTTTTTCCATCCCCAGTTGTTCCTGTTATTCCCTTTCTCGGTCGTAAGGGGGGATGGTGTGCAGAGCTCGATAGCATTTGCCACCAGACTCTCGGGATTACAGGAAATGTATCTGGAAAAAGGTGAATGGGGATAGATTTTATTTGTATCATAGGTCATTAACACGAAAATATTGCTGAAAATACCAAGATACAACAACTCACACAAGCCTCCTCAGACGAGATTGCGTCCTCAGAACTTTGATTACCTACATTTTCGCAAAAAAAAAAAAAAAAAAGAATGTGTTTCTAATATGTTAGTGCAAAAGACCCTGCATTTGTGTGATTTCTACAAAGTCACAGCTGAGAAAGTTAGAATCAAGAACAAATATATCAAGAGATAGAGCAAACATGTCGTTGTTAGTAAAATTCAAAAAGGCCACTTACAGTTGGATGAAGTCCAACGCGTGGAGGATCAACTATAGCAACGATATTTTTAAATTGCCGAATCGGGTTATTTCCACTTTCAGAATTGCAAAGATTCTCCAACTTGTTTTCATCTTTTGGAGATTGAGGGGCAATGCTACTCCCATTCTCCTGGTCAATGGTTTGGCTATCGCCATTTCCTGTGATACAGTCAGCAGAATCGGCATCTTCTTCATAAGGCTTGATTTCAGGCTCCTCATTTCCTAATGCGTCGGTTTCATTTTGGTTTTGGGGTGAAGATAGGTACTCTTTCATCAACGACCCAATAACATCTTCAGCCTAATAACACACATTGAGGACCATTAAAATGCAAATGGATTAAACAATTCCAAATGGTGCGATTGGATAAACTGTCATTAGGAAAAATACCCCCTTAGCAGGAAAAGATTATGGGGTACTGATATAGCAATGGCTAGTACTGCCGGCTCGACCGGTAGCATCTGATATAGCATGTCATACCCGACCGGTTTTTATGGATATATATTGAAGAATACGCCTATACATGGGCTAAGACACTTGATATGATAATATGGGTCAAACCCAACTTAGGCCAAGCCCAACTTGAACTATAAGGTACACTCCCCCTATAAAAATGAGGCTAAGGTACTCATTTCCTTCAACTTTCTAATCATTCTCTCTCTCTCTCTACACTCTAATATGGATCTGACTTGAGCATCGGAGGCCCAAAGCCGGGCGCCCCTCCCGGGGTCCCCAACTTTGGGTTCTTGCAGGTACGGTGGCCGTCCGAGCCGAGGGAGCATAGGTGACATCTTTGTCTCATCAGGTACAATTAATTATTTTTCCCATGTACTAAGTCAATTTCCCGGTGATTGAACTACCGTTCCTGTAGTCCTTTAGGGTTGAGCTAATGTAAGATGAAAAATAATTATTAAAGTTGATATGATAGAAAAACAATAAAATAATGATCTATAGCTAGAACGTAGTGGATGATTGGTAAATTCAAACAGAAAATGTGTTGTAATGATTGGGTTTTATGCTACAAAATATTGATAAATAGTTTCCTTCAGGTGAATGATAATTAAATATATCTGATATTCAATCACCCTAATGCTCATCCTAGGGAGTTCAGTAAAAACAAAATTACAGAAAATAAAAAGAAAACCAAATACAAAAAGAGAGAGCCAACTTCAACCTTTCCACAGACAAATCTGCAGTTTTTAATGCCATTGATTTCTGCATTCCTCTGAGCGTCTGAAACAGCAGAAGCATTCATTTCAATGCCAACAACCTGAAAAAGATTTGAGCTCAAAATCACTCTAAAATAAGTAAGAAAAAACCGACAGAAGAGACATGATTTTTATCAGCGGCCAAATCTAACAGTTAATCATGGCAATAGCATATTAAATTGTTATTTCTTCCCAGTTTGTTATATATTTCCCATTTCAACAGGACAGGTTCACATCCAAACCGCTCAAATTACCAATAATTCAGAGAGACGCTGAGAAGCATTACCATACCAACACGGTCGGCTAAAATCAGGCCAATTGTCCCAGTGCCACAGCAAACATCGAAAAGTAAAGTGTCGGGGCCCAACCCGGCCCAGTCACCAGCAAGCGAATATAACTTCTCAGCAGCAAGAGTGTTAACCTGCCAAATTCAGATGCCATATTAACGTTGATTTATTTTTACAGACTTTCTACTTTTCTTCCTTCAGGAACATAATTATTGCTAGTAGTTGTCCCATTAAGAATCTGAGTTCTAAGGGGAAACATTGAAAAAATTCTCACATAAACTTTACCTGAAAGAAGGCCGATGGAGATATTGAAAACTTAAGATTGCTTATGTGATCATGAATTCTTGGTTCGACAACATCATTAGCTATCTCGAGTCCACAATCATTCCCTTTCCGGATGAAAACATACAGCAAAGGAGCATCAGAAGGGGCAGCATTGGAAATTCCTCTGTGATCCTGCGTATATGAAAAGGACGTGCAGAGCTTAGAAATGCATATAATTTCAAATACCGACAATATTTTGCAGCGGGACTCAGGATTATATATGTTATACACAGTAAATGCAAGGGTGACATAAAATGAATTAAGCACTCGTGACAATCTCAAAGCTTTTGGAAGTCCCTAGTTCAAAAACACACCGCAATCAGCAAGAAAAAAAAACATTTTATTATATGGTTGTTTTATTTTGAGTCCATTTAATGTTACAAGCACTAATATATTAACAAAGACGAGATGAAGTGAAACTGTCGGTGTGAGAGAGTCCTGGGAGCTTTTTACTTGTATCTGAAGAAAATCAATCATTCCTAAATATTGTAACAAAAAGGCGATGCAAATGAAAAACAAACATTGAATTAAGAACTGTTCACTATCTAATTATCGAGAAACTTGGATTCACAAATGTTTTGAGTAAAGTTAAGCATATAATACGAGCAAGTAACTAGTAAGTTTGTCATCTCAGAACTGAAGGGTTTATCTCATGGAGAACACTGATTTTACATAATCAGGGATGGCCATGAGAGAAATTGAGAAGTAGAACAATTAATCATGAACTATAAGGAAAAAGATAAATATCACCTATATTTTATATTCAAAGTGTATAGTACCTACTGATGTAAGTGATCCATGTCCACCTAACTCCAATTAGATAATGCTTAGTCACTATCCGGTTTTGACTGACCGGATAATTTTTTTTTACATTATAACTCCAATTTAACACAATAATATGAACACAATATAATGAAATAATATCAATCCATCATACTCACATATCACATCAATTTTGATTCACTACTCATCCACTCGCATATTTTTAACAACCTATCATTACAAATAACTTTGCTCATACTTTTACATCACATTAATTTAATCATTACATTTTAAATATTATTTAAACAAACTCAAAATCCCACTCAATTCTCCACTCAATCAACTTTATTCAAAATTAACTCACTTTAACTAACAATCCAATCAAAATCGGCTTGATTTATAATCACTCGCGCCCTAAGCCCCCTATGACATCCTATATTTTTAACAGATTATACCCACCTGGCACTATATAAATTCCACCTAACCCGCTAGGCTTTCATTAGATCATGCATAGGAGCTAGGTAAGCGATTTTTAAAACACTTACAGTGCCTAGACATTATTGAAATCAAAAGACTACCATTCTTATTGTGACCTCTATACTTCGATCACAAACATTTATAGATCTGAGTGAAAATTCTTATATCAAGAACCAAAATTACAAACCGATGCAAAGCAGAAATATTACACCACTAAATATATAACCTTAACCGATTCAAAATTCTTACCTGAATTACAAGTGCTGTAAGAGGCAAAAGAGATTCTACTGATCCCACAGAAAATGCTTGAGCCAAACTTACAATTTCATCTTTAACATTTTCGTCATCAAAATTCACTGTACAAACCTGCATCATAGTACAATAAGACAATAGATGGGTAAAAGAACAAAAAAGAAGGAATTAGCACACCAACCAAACTGCAAACTCCAACTTTTCAAAAGGTTATCGAAATTGTGGTCAGTTATGCAGACAATTGATGAATATTATTAAAATGAAAGGAAAAGGAAGAACGAAAGGTTGTCAAAACGATACAGGCTGTAAAAAGCGATAAATTCAAAGAGCAAGCAGCAGGGTATTGACCTGAACTATAAGCATGACTTCTGAAATGTTGGTCTCTGGATTGTCCACCTCAGCATTCTTGGAAGGCGTCCTACCTTCACGAACCTAGATATGAACACTTTAAAAAAAAGTCACGAGGAAATTGGTATTTTCTGTATGATGTTTATTGAAAATTAATTAAATATATCGCTGTTCTTATTTCGTATCAGAGCCTAGGCAATTCAGAAAATTTTCTAGTGTTTGTTTGCAGAAGGATCATACCGTTAATTGACGCCAAAATCCAGTATTGTTCAATCTGTTCCATACAGGCAATTTTGAATTCTGCAAAAATTCTTGAAAAATGGCAGCATATCTGCTACCAACTCTGGAAACATTTGGACAGTTCAAAGGTTCCTCAACAGCAGTCACACCCTCCCTGTACAGATTTTCCAACTACGGTTTGTGGAAAGAAACATAGAAAATAATAATAGTAACACCTTGTTAGTAGCAAACTACCTGAAATTGCCAAGTAAAAATCCCACTGTATGTTTGCCTTGCAAGGAACAACCAACAGAGAATTCACACTTGTTACGGTACCCATTGACGAGAGGCGACTCAATTATACCCTCCAGTTTGCATGGAAGACCACCTTAATTGGATCACAAGACGTAAATAAAATAGTTATTGGAGTTCTCCAGTCACCCCATGCATATCAACTTCCAGAGAAATATAGAAAATATGACGAGAACGAGATATGATCAAACAGAATCATTTTCCAAAAACAATAGAGAAGGAAACGTTATGACAAAATATAAAAGGAAGATAAAAGGAGAAAATTGTCTAATAGCAACAAATAATGGTTGAGCTTTCTCCCTCAATTAGCTCCATAAGAAAAAAAAATTCTCAACAGATATCCACCAAATGTAACAGGCAACCATAAAAAGTTTTTTACGTAATGTTTTAGTTTAAGTACAAAAACTATTTTGCCTAAACAATGAAAACCCATTTATATTGGAAAAATTACCAATACCCTTACATTTACGTGTCATACGTAAGTGCATCTTCAAACAGATATACTTGCAGATTAAATATAAACCTCAAGCGGTAAACTCATAATTCGAAAAGATAAGCAAGATTTTTTCTTTGTTAAGCTAACCTCCAAAGGGTAGCTTTTATAGTTTTCGGCCGTCCATCAATTAAACTACTTAACATGGCAGTAACGGTACCTATTTCTTTAGATTTCATAATCCATTCTGGAAGTGAGACACCATGAGGACAAGCTTTACGTGCATTGCGAGACTACAAAACAACAAAACAAATTTCAAACTTACAATTAGTACACTGCAACATATATTGCTACAAGAAACAAAGATGATGAGAACATAGAACTTTATTGAAGCAAATCAAGAGAGAACTATTTCATAGCAACAGAAAAGGCAGCAAGAATGATTCTACTAACTAATCTTCTGAGAATTTGTGCCAGTGAGTTCTTCTTGTGCTCTAACTGGTCGGCATAGGACATGTGAGCGAGAGGAGTCACCACATCACGTGCACTCCTACCCTTTAAAACAGATTCATTGTTTAAACTACCATCATCGCCAGACTCAACATTGAACGACCGTGGAATGACGTCTGAAACCTTTAAAGTCCTGTTATTGCCAACAGTTTTCCCATCTAGCCCCTGTAAGATTAAGAGTGTGAGAAATCAGATTATTTGAAGTTCTTGAAATATTCCAACTAAAGCATCTAAGTCTACTACCTCAAAGGCAACCTTGACCTCTGCTGCAGTTTCGAAAGTAACAAAACCAACACTCATGTTTTTCTTTTTCTTGGCCGATTTAAATTGAATTCCCTGCCATGATAGATTCGTATAAATATTAATACACACATCAAGCACTGTAAATCAACTCGAGCACATAATCACAACACACCATTGAGAAATTAGGGGAAGTCTCCAAACCAACTTACACATCATTGGTCCCTCTCATACAGAAATATCTACAGAAACGAATTACGAAAGTATAGAGCCATGAGAACGCAACCTGTTCATTGAGAAAGTTCCTCAAATTATCTGAACTCCACTTCCTGGGTAAATTCACAATGCATTTAGACAAACCAGAAGAAGAATCCTCCTCGCCGTCTTCCAAGGCCTCCGTCATCATTACCCCACCCTCCGCTTCCTCCGCCGTTTCCCCCTCTTCCTTCTCATGTGTTCTCGCCGTCTTCTTGGCCCGCTGTGAAGTGGGGTCCCAGGTGTTGTCGGGCCGTTGGCGGAGCTCCTCCTCGCCGTGAGCATACCGGCATGACTCGCCGTGGCTGCATGAGCCGCCGGTCTTCCGGAAGTATGAGCAAAGGCTCGTTTTCCACAGCGGGTGCTGCTCACGCGGGGCAAGGTCAGACGAGGTTTCCGGGTCGGGTTCAGACTCTCGCTTTCGCTTCTCGGTCGGGATGGCGTCGCCGGCGGATAAATGAGAAGGGCTTCCCACAGTGTTCGGTAGATCCGAGGAATCGTGGCTCTCCATTTTGTGGGCTAAGTGCTTATTAGGGTTTTTTGGTTGGAGAGACAGTTCAGACTGAGCACTGCCGGAGTACTGTAAAAACTCAATATTTCGGATGTGAACAGTAGTACTTACTATTCACATTACAGTGTTGTTAAATATCCCTTTTTTTAATAAATACCGCTCCAAAAAGATAGTTTTACTCTTTTTAATATAAAAATAATTTATTTTTTTCGGGCTGGCCGGCCTTGAATGTCGGCCGTCTCGGCCTTCTTTTTGCCGGTAGGCCGGCCCATGCACGGCCGGTTTTGCCGGTTGGCCGGCCCATGCACGGCCAGTTTTGCCGGTTGGCCGGTCCATGCACGGCCGGTTTTGCCGGCCATTTTTTTTTTATCAAATTTTTAATTATATACATTATATTATAATTTAGATTTATGTTATAAATTAGAATTTAATATCTCATGAATTTAGAAATTGTTAAAGTATAAATTATAACTAATTATCTTATAGAATTTTATTATTATTATGTTAGAACTCATTAATTATTATGTTATATAATATAATACTAATTATCTTTAATAAAATACTAATGAGTGATGCTATTAAAAATTGTAGTTCTCTTTTTTTTTTTTCTTAAATCTGCTCCTTTTCAACTCGGTAATAAATTTTAAAATACAAAATAATATTTTGACTTAAATTTGAAATTCATAAATATCAATTTAAATAACAAATTGAACGAAAAAAATCGGATTCTGTTAGAGCAATTCATTGAGACCGATTAATTAAGTATGATTTGACCGAATTTTATGACAAGAGATTGTTTGACACTTTTCTCAGAGTTATATGATTCGTGTGAATATTATAGTAGGAAAAGCGTTCTAACAAAATAGTAATAGTAATAATCTACACCATAATAATTTCAAATTTCTAACATAGTAGTACTAAATATTATTTCATAAGACTATCAATTTTAAATTATATCATAATAATATCCAACTTCTAACATAATAGTAATAAATTATAATTTATAACATAATCAGTTTTAATCTATAATACAATAATTTCTAACCTCTAACAAAATAGCAATAAATTCTAATTCATAAGACAATCAATTCTAATCTATAATACAATAATTTCTAACTTCTAACATATTAGTAATAAATTCTAAGATAATCAATTCTAATATATAACATAATATTTATACTAATATATTTTTTCAAACAAGTATCATTTCTGATTTATAATAATATAACTTATACTAATTATACTAATATCATTTTTTTAACTGTATATATTGTTAGTTCATTTTATCCTCAACAAGTGCATAACAAACACAACCCGAAATTAGGGTTTAGGGGTTTAGGGTTTAGGGTTTAGGGTTAAGGGGTTTAGGGGTTAGGGTTCAGGGTTTAGTGATTAGGGTTTAGGGTATATTATGTTTGTGATTGATGACATTCATTATGTTAGAAACTATTGTATTATAGATTTTAATTGATTGTCTTATGAATTAGAATTTATTGCTATTTTGTTATAGGTTAGAAATTATTGTATTATAGATTAAAACTAATTATGTTATAAATTATAATTTATTACTATTATGTTCGTAATTGGATATTATTATGGTATGATTTAGAATTGATAGCCTTATGAAATAATATTTAGTACTACTATGTTAGAAGTTAGAAATTATTATGGTATAGATTATTACTATTATAAATTAAAATTTATAACTATTTTGTTAGAACGCTTTTCCTACTATAATATTCAAACGAATCATATAACTCTGAGAAAAGTGTCAAACAATCTCTTGTCATAAAATTCGGGCAAATCATACTTAATTAATCGGTCTCAGTGAATTGCTCTAACAGAATCCGATTTTTTTCGTTCAAATTGCAAATTTAAGTCAAAGTATTATTTTGTATTTTAAAATTTATTACCGAGTCGAAAAGGAGCGAATTTAAGAAAAAAAGAGAACCACAATTTTTAATAGCATCACTCATTAGTATTTTTATTAGAGATAATAGTATTATGTTATATAACATAATAATTAATGAGTTCTAACGTAATAATAATAATATTCTATAAGATAATTAGTTATAATTTATAATTTAACAATTTCTAAATCCTAACTATGATATATTAAATTCTAATTTATAACATAAATCTAAATTCTAATATAATGTATATAATTAAAAATTTGATTTTTCTTTAAAAAAATAAAAAAATAAAAAAAAAAATTGGCCGGCCTACCGGCAAAACCGGTCGTGCATGGGCTGGCCAACCGGCCAAACCGGCCGTGCATGGGCCGGCCAACCGGCAAAAAGAAGGCCGACACGGCTACGGCCGACAGTCGAGGCCGGCCGGCCCAAAAAAAAAAAATTATTTTTGGCTTTGACCGATCGGCCGCCGGTTTGACCGGTCAGCCGCCGCATGACCGGTCTTGTTGGAAAGTATTTTTTCGCCGTAAATATTCAGAGGTGTTTTCGGAATTTTTCGAGACTCGGTTTGGCCGGTAAATAGTTTTAAAGAGGGACATCTATTCATTTTTAAAAAAATGTATAAAGGGCAAATTAGTATTTTAGGGGACGGTAAATATCAAAAAAAGGGACGGTGTTCAGCGGTTCACATTTTTTTTTCTTCAAATTTTAATTTTAATATTGATTTTTATTTTTAAATATTATTTTGATAGAATATACACCAATAAGATTATTTCTTATATTAAATAGTTTTAAATTTTAGTGTTACAGTTGTATTTAAATTTTATTTTGTACTATTGTATTTCATTAATAGTAAAACATAGTACAAACGGTAAAATTTTAGCATTTTCAACTTTAAGTAAACTATACACTACAAAGTCTAGACATCAGATAGAGGGTAGAAGATGGTCTAACTACATTTATTTTTTTATAAAGTAAGAGACATTTTAGGGATGTATTCATTTGGGAATCATAAGACGTTCCTTGGATATAAAAGTATTTTTTTATTGAGTATTTTAAAGTTTTTTTTTTTCAAACGATAGAAATTTCATATATAACCACAAACGTACATTCAAATACGACTTAAAAGCCGAAAGGACGACTCACAAGCCGAATCTAGTGAGAGGACGAATCTAAAGGATCGCCTATAACCAACATGATAACAACCATACCCACGAAACCACGAAACCAACAAACTCCACAAAAGGAGAAAGAGCTCCTTACGAGAGAAACAAATTCTCATGCATGACAAACAGACTCCCCTACGGGAGATAGAAGAGACAAACCCAAAAGCAAAGCACAACAAAACCGAAAAACAACTCGAAACTAGCGAAAAAAAAAACAAAAAACTAACTAAAATAAACTAAAATTAACGCCCTCCCCACCAGTGAAGAGCCATCACCAACTAAACCGAGTGAACATCCGACCCCGAAGATCAAAAGCAAGCCAATCGGGCAGCGAAACCGACAGCATCCAGATCTTCGAGAACCCACCCAGGCCGACCCATACCACAACACCTCCAGTTAATACTATTGTAATATAAACTCAAAATTGCGCTAGCATCTTGCCACCAGATGCTAGTGCAATTTTGAGTTTATATTACAATAGTATTTAAAACAAAATAATTAAAGTCGATTTGATGTAAAAGTAAGAGAAAAATGAATGAAAATGATATATACTTAAAATAATGTGAGTGGATGAACAGTAAATTAAAATTTACGTGTGTAAAGATAATTGATTGACATTATTTAATATATTAATAATATTGAGGATAATGTAGTTCAGGTAAACTTGAATTAGATTTGAGTTAGAGATTGGATTTTTTTGAGAAAAAAAAAATGTATCTAAGCATGTAAGAATCCTTTATAATTTTTAAACTAAGACCTTTAAAAATTCTGAATTATTCATTTGGAATTTCAGAATCTTAACCATGAAGTATTTAACTTATTTGACACTGAGATTTAATAAAACTTTTTAAAATTTGCTAAGATTTTATAAACAAAAATCTTATATGGAATCCCAATTCCCACCACAAATCCCAGCTTAAAACATAAGATTTTCAAGAAATCTCAAATATTAAAATGTTTGAAACCTAAAAGAATTTTAAAATGTATTGTATAATCCTAAATGAATAAAAGCCCCTAAATATGTTTTAGACTTTAAGGATAAGTACTATAAGCTAGCTTATAGCTTATTTGGTTAGCTTTTAAGCTTTATATGTACATATAAGCTTGATTAATCGCTCGATTGTTCGTTACATGCTCGCTACTTTCTCGTGTTGGGAAGGCGAAGCGCCGCCAGGTCTCGCGTGGTGCCAACGTCTGCGCAAAATTGCACGGCTGATGCCTGTGCATTGTCGAGTCATCGCGTGGACCCTGTGAGCATTTGCGGCAAGTGCGTTGCCAAGTCATCGCACAGACCCTGTGCGTATCTGCAGCCCGCACGCGCGCTCGCGATTCCTGGGTCTCTCGTACGTTGGCTCTTGAGATCAAGATCACGCGCCACGCGCAACACCCACTCGTGGTAATCGTATCCCGTCTCCAAGAGTCGTACACCAGCACGCTCCTACCCGCATCGTCTGCCAGCACGACAAACATGTCGCATACGACCTGCGCGTCGGGCACCCATAGGCAACAAGTTGTCGACAGCCTGCGCGCGGCTCTTTGCGACTTTGTGGAGGCGATCAACGGTGAGTTGCGGCTGGTCGGGTCGTCGAGGTTCATCAGTTGTCTTGATCACCCGAGTTCTTCCGCAATCAACACACATAAAAAATTAATACAAAAATAATTTTAATCCTAGACCCATAGATGAGTTTACATGCTTGTCTACGAAAACAATAAATCTATATGGTGTCCCACCGTACATATAAATTTATTATAGGCATTCACAATCAAAATTTCTCAACATGTCTTAGGCTTTAAAAATGTACAATTAAATTAAACAAACATACACAACCATAAATAGTGGATTCATATATTCCTGCAAAACCAAATTATACAATAATCCAATTTATTATTGCACTCATACACACGTAAGCCACACGAGTCT